TTTGGGGGTACCAAAATATTACAGACAAAAAGACTTTTAAGCTAAATGGCAACTGTCACTAATGTCATAGTCGTCAAACCACATATCGATTAGTAGAGAGGTTATTTTATGTGATATATAAACCAATTTCGAGTCCTGGACGATGAGACAGTCAGAAATGAAAAAAATTGACGCAACTGAGATGTACTGTTGGCGACGAATGCTCAGAATTCCCTGGACTGCCCGCCGAACCAATGAATCCATAATCCAAGAACTGAACATCACAGAACGCCTCTCAACTTCTATACAGTCACGTATACTTAAATATTTCGGTCACGTTATGAGGAGGGATACTGACTGTATGGAAAAACTCTTTATACAGGGCAAGGTTCCGGGAAGAAGACCAAGAGGCCGCTCGCCCTCCCCGATGGATAGACCAGCTATCAAAGATCACTCACAAGCCACTGCACACGCTTGTACATGAAGCACAAGACAGGGAATTATGGAGACAAACCTCACACATCACCTGACCAATACATTCCTCTTGTAGGAATAAAGATAGAGAGAGAGAGAGAGAGAGATAAACCAATTATGAAAAATTATAACCATTTCTATGGTTACTTACGTAATAACTATGTAACTGTGTATTTAACACTTTGTATATAAAGTGATTATATACAAAGTGTTAAATATGTAATTACCTTTTTATCACCGCTATCCTCTACGTCCTGCTGCTTTTCCTGAACAGCCGTTTTTTCCTTCAAATTCTCTATCAATTTCGCTTCCAAGTTCTTCGCCAGAGCCTTCTCGATTTTGTCCTCCACTTCCAAGATCTCCTCCTTGTCGATGAGCTCAATCAATTCATCCACTTGCTTACTACTCAGTTTCACGTTTTCTTTACCAATAATCTCAATGACCTGAAATGAAAATAAAAATCTGCAAAAGCTGACACATTCTAACGAGACCGCTAAATGCAATTTCATCACTCTGAATTTGCAAGTATAGTATCTAGTTATACCTAAGTGGAGTAGTTGTTTGAACACCCTGTATATGACATACAGAAATAAAAATGTTATATCTAAAAACAAACATGATTTGACTAGTGCCATTCACCAACTAAATTTCGATTGTTTCCAAATAAAAACAGTCCCAAACAAAAAAACAAGATTAAATTTCTATATTATGACAGCTTTTATGTAGTCTCAATATAGAATATCTTAGCTACACAGAAGCGATAAACGATAATAAAATAAACGATAAACCCAATTCTGAGTAATGACTAAGTATGTGACCCAAATTTTATAACCACAAAGTCTCATATTTTGACAATTAAACTCAATTATACGCTGAAAAAATTGTCTAGAATTTATGTTTGTTCCAACATGTCACCAATACCCGCCTTTTTTTACTTTAAGATTCATAGTTAGGTAATTCTATGCTGAAAATCAGGGTTGGGTAGGTAGAAAATTTTCTACCGTATTTTCTACACGTAGAAAATTAATTTTCTACACCAACCAATTTTCTAGATTTTTTTACATGTCCAGACGTAGAAACTTAGTTTTGTATATTGTAAGCATTTTTTGAGTTTGATATTTATTTCAAATACTTCAATCACAACGATTAGTACAAGAAATAAACTAATATATATAACGATATCTCTAATTGTTATTTATTATATAACAAATGGATAGTATGTCAAAAAAAGCGGAACTATTAACTTCTATATTATTTTAAATTGATATGCACAACGGAAGGATGCGTAGCAGGTAGCAGTGGTTGTTGTGTCATTATAATTCGCAGGCATATCGTCATTTTCTGGATGCCATCTGTCGAAATTTTCCTTGATTTGTTCCCAACTCTGCTGAAAATATAAGAACAAAATTCGAAACAAAATCTTACCTTCATAAAACATCGTCAATCTTTAACGACCCATCATGATCGTCGTCCATCTTCCTCAGCACCTTCACTATCTTCTCCAAACGGCTCTGATCAGGAACATCCTTAATCTTATTGATAGCCGCTATGATATCGTCGATCTTCAACAATTCCTCCTTCTTCTTATCGCTAGCTTCTTCCTCCAGATCTTTCTTCAATTGAGCCTCCTTCTTCTCCAACTCGACCAAAACCTTGTCCATCTTACCGATCATCCTGTTCACGCTCTTGTACAGTCTCTTGGCAGCCTTTGTTTCTTGGATGTCCGGTTTGGGAGTGTCAGCCAAGGCTTTACCCAAGTCCTCCACGTCTTCCTCGTAGTCGGCCATTTCCGCTTTGAGCTCTTGGATTTCTTCCTTTTCGACGATGAGTTTCTTTTCTTTGGAGACGGTGTCGATGGCGTGTTCGATGATCTGGATATCTTTGGTATGGATGGTTTCTTCCTTCTCTTTCAGTTTTTCCTGGAAAATTAAAAAGGATATCAAATAAAAATAAGTTACATAATTGAGGGCGCGATTTTTAAATTAATTGTTGTCAACCATGGACATATTCGGCGCCGTGCTAACTAACTGGAATATAAATTGTCCGCTAGCGATATAGACATATATGTATAAATAAATATACTCAGTCTAATCTCTAAAAATTGAAGCCCAAACGGTGAAAGAATAATATGGAATTCTACATAAGTCTACTTCACCCAGATATTCATTTAATTGCGCATGCCTTACCTGAAGAAGTTTTCATTGGTCGGTGTTTTTAAAGCGAGGTGGTTGACTGACGTTTCACCTAACCGTCAATTTTATTTATACTTTTATTATTTATAACACGTTATCATGGAGTTGGAAAAATATCAAAAAAATTAGCGCCGGGAGGCACGTATGGCCGCCCATACTAAAATATGTTAATAAAAAGTTGGTAGGCAGTTTTTTTAGTTTGAAAGTAAAGGAATTTTTCCAATTTTGGTCCGCGGTTATTTCCCCTATCCGCCACCTGAGGTCGCGTCCGATGGGAGTTCGGAGTTCTCCACACGGATTTTCTCAAAAACGGACTACGGAAACACGGAATATCTCAAAAACTGCGACTTTAACTGATTTTGATGTTAGTACAAATTTTGTTGCAAATATTATTCCTAATCTTAAATTGAAAACCGCGTTTCGCTAGCTACTGTAATTTTGGAGTTACGATTTTTTAAAATTTTTAAAACTAATGGTCAGATTCTCGGGTGCCACACTATTTTTGTGCCAAATTTGGTTAAAAACGCTTTAGCGGTTTTTGAGTTATCGTGTTACAGACGGACAGACAGACAGACAGACACCATGAAAATATTTTGTATTTAGATCATTTATGACCCAAATAACACATTTTGAGTGAAATTAAAAAAACTTTTTTTGCCGATCTTAATAGCCTACCATACCTTTTGGTATGGTCGGCTAAAAATAGTTGGAAACAATAATAACAATAAACTAAATAAAATCGCTCTTTTACGCGCACAAATAAAAAGTAATCAATCAGAGTTTGGCGCAATCGCAGTTCAATCGATATCCGGGCGAAATAGACTTATGCAACATTAAAGGCGGGCGGCCACTGCGAGCGAAACTAAACTAAGCCAAGCGAAAGATAATTAATAAGATTTGTAAAAATCAGCTCCAATACTTTTAAATGCATCAGCGGCCACTTGAGCGAAACTAAACGAAAATGTATGAACGAAGATTCGAATCGTAGTTTAGTTTCGCTCGTTTTAGTTCGTGACAGGTTCCAGCGAATTTTTCGCAGCGATTAGTTCTATGATGGCAGAGACAATACGAAAACGCAGCTAACTTAGCTGACTAATGAGCGAAAATCGTTCCCAGTGGCCGATGAAACTTATTTTCGTTTAGTTACCGTTTGTTTTTATATTCTTAGCTTAGTTTAGTTTCGCTCGTAGTGGCCGCCTGCCTTAAAGGCGGGCGGCCATTGCGAGCGAAACTAAACTAAGCCAAACGAAGATAAGATTTGTAAAAATTAGCTCCCATACTTTTAAATGCATCAGCGGCCACTTGAGCGAAACTAAACGAAAATATAGGAACGAAGATTCAAATCGCAGTTTAGTTTCGCTCGGTTTAGTTCGTGACAGGATCCCAGCGAATTTTTCGCAGCGATTAGTTCTATGATAGCAGAGATACAATACGAAAACGCAGCTAACTTAGCTGACTAATGAGCGAAAATCGTTCCCAGTGGCCGATGAAACTTATTTTCGTTTAGTTACCGTTTGTTTTATATATTCTTAGCTTAGTTTAGTCTCGCTCGCAGTTTCCGCCTGCCTTAAAGGCGGGCGGCCATTGCGAGCGAAACTAAACTAAGCCAAACGAAGATAAGATTTGTAAAAATCAGCTCACATACTTTTAAATGCATCAGCGGCCACTTGAGCGAAACTAAACGAAAATATAGGAACGAAGATTCAAATCGCAGTTTAGTTTCGCTCGGTTTAGTTCGTGACAGGATCCAGCGAATTTTTCGCAGCGATTAGTTCTATGATAGCAGAGATACAATACGAAAACGCAGCTAACTTAGCTGACTACTGAGCGAAAATCGTTCCCAGTGGCCGATGAAACTTATTTTCGTTTAGTTACCGTTTGTTTTTATATTCTTAGCTTAGTTTAGTTAAGCTCGCAGTGGCCGCCTGCCTTAAAGGCGGGCGGCCATTGCGAGCGAAACTAAACTAAGCCAAACGAAGATAAGATTTGTAAAAATCAGCTCCCATACTTTTAAATGCATCAGCGGCCACTTGAGCGAAACTAAACGAAAATATATGAACGAAGATTCAAATCGCAGTTTAGTTTCGCTCGGTTTAGTTCGTGACAGGTTCCAGCGAATTTTTCGCAGCGATTAGTTCTATGATGGCAGAGACACAATACGAAAACGCAGCTAACTTAGCTGACTAATGAGCGAAAATCGTTCCCAGTGGCCGATGAAATTTATTTTCGTTTAGTTACCGTTTGTTTTTATATTCTTAGCTTAGTTTAGTTACGCTCGCAATGGCCGCCTGCCTTAATATGGAGCTAAGTTATTTGTCTTTTTCTTACGGCACGGAAACAGCACACGGGGTTAAATAGGGAACACTGGGTATATTTATTTATATGTATATGAATATAGGTGGTAGTTCTGCTGTAATTCTGTTGAATATATTAAATAACTGGACAGGCTATACCTACCTTCTTTTCTAATTTCTCAGTAGATATCCTAAGAGCGGTATCTTCCAATATAGGAGTCGTACTAGCGGAAATGGTAGGAGCTTTGTCCACCAACAATTCTTTGTCTTTTTCTTCCAATTTTCGTTTCTCTTCTCTGTAAAAAAATAGAATATAACTTACCAGCACCTCACCCAGCCATAACAAAGTTGGTAGATAAACAAAAATATACAGGGTAATATACATAGAAAGTCGTGGCACATCAAAGTTGTGTATATTATTGCATATTTCAATTTATTTCTTTAATTCTAAGTAAAAATCGAGATACACACAACAACCAACCGTTTCCGAGTTACTGACTAAAATATCACTTAATTTGATTTAATTAATTTCGATATGTTCAGTTTCACTTAACGATGCCATTCTGCCGAAATTGTGATACTTGATAATATTTGATTTATATTTATAGATGTACAAAATGTGATTATATGAAGTCTGGAAATTACGAAATTTAAACGAAAATTTCAAAATATGGAAGTACTTTAAAAAGAATGCCTGCAAAAGGTGATGCTGGGAACTGGTGTTCTTAAAAATGCATTATCCGAGTATTTAATACGATTTATACAGTTAGTTTTCTATACTGCATACATATAAGGTGTTTAAATAAATAAACTAAATAATGAATATTTTGCATACGGCAACCACACACCATCATGACAAGGACTACAATGACGTCACAAAGCGAGGAGTTTTCGCATGTACCTGGCAGACACTTTCGGCTGAATGAGCAGTCCTATTAGGTTAACTGTTCTTGCGTCCGTCCGTCCGTCCATCTGTCACAAAGGTCTATCTTATGAACCGTTATAGCTAGACAGTTGAAATTTTTACAGATAATGTATCTATGTCTAAGTCCTCGGTGGCCGCGTTAAGATTTTACGCTGCTATGACGTCGGAGCCGTAGTAAGGCAGGTTCAACGGACGGCAAGGCTAAACCTGTGCAAAGTCCAGAGGCTAGCATGCGTTTGCATCACAGGAGCCATGAGAACCTGTCCAACAGCAGCAATGGAGGTCATTCTAGATCTAACACCACTGCACATTGTCATTGGTAGATATGCCAATGCGACAATGATTAGAATGGTCACTAACGGAATTAGTACTGGGAGAATTGTCAGATCAGGGGCTTGGAACACCAAAAAAAGGAAATACCACTCCTGCAACTCCCAGTGGACGATATGCCAAGAACGTACAACTTGAGAACATCTCAATGTAGTATTGAGCAATAAAAAGGATTGGAAGAGCGAAACGCTTGCCCAGCAGTTAAAAGACCATACCATAACTTGGTATACTGATGCTTCCAAAACCAATACGGGAACAGGGATCGGTGTATTTGGGTCGAGAGCTAAATACTCCGAACCAATGGGCATTTACCCTACAGGCAGAAATTTACGCTATCGAAAGATGCGTACAACTTATCTTAGATAGGAACTATCGGAAACAAGAAATAGTCATCTTGTCTGATAGTCAAGCAGCGTTAAAAGCGATCAACTCAGTATCAATCAATTCGAAATTGGTCAAAGAATGCATAGAGAAGCTGAATAAATTAGGCAAAAGAAAACAAAGTCCTCTACTCTGGGTGCCTGCTCACCAAGGGATAGAAGGCAATGAAAAAAGCAAATAATCTAGCTAGAAAAGGAGCGAACACTCCACTAACTGGACCAGAACCGTTCTGCTTTCCAAATGGTAACCAACTCAAGGCGGAACTCAAGAACTTGGAAGATTCCATCCGCAACCTGGAATGGGAATCTTGCAACGGTCTAAGACACTCGAAGAAGTTTCTAAGGGCTTATGATCAAGGGACTAACAACAAACATTTCAAAATCAAAACTTCATAATTCAAAAATGGTTGGATTTACCGTATGATCCAATAAAAACGGCGTCAGCGATGGCTATGAAATGACGATCGATGACATTTCTCATATAATTTTACATATAAAATGACAGCGATCTTCATTTCATAGCCATCGCTGACGCCGTTTTTATTCGATCATATGGTATGTACACTGTGTATTACTATTATTGTTTAAAATTGAAGGAAGAATTGAAATATGCAATAATATACAAGGGGTTGCATTTAAAAAAAATAAAGGTTGATGTGCCACAAATTTATGACCGACCCTGTATACTTAAATTTATCTTTAATAATAGTCATTTAAAAACCCTATAACTTTTGTATTTAACTTTTTGCGGTACCTCGTATATTTTACCTAATAATCGACCGTTCCAATACATATCAGCGACACTGTATACAGGGTGCGTCTCGAAAGTGGGTCACCCCTATAACTTTTGTATTTTTTCAGATAAAAAAATGAGATTTGGTATGTGAGTATATGACATAAATTAGGATTGATTGACATATTATTCAGTTATTTTTGGTCACTTTTTGTTTCTCCGGAAATGACTATAACTTTTGATTTTTAAATGGCACCCTCGGTATTTTTTTACTTTATTCAATAGGAAATTACTCACTCACTTCAATATAATGACATAGCATATGTCAATTTTTGACATTTTCGCTTAAAACAACTTAAAACAAAATTGTATTTTAAATTTCAATCTAGAATGGCTGTGTTGAAATAGTTTTGATCGTCTAATGTTATTCGTGTCTTATCCTGACCAGTTAAAAGATGCCCAAATCGTATTTTAATCATATCTCAATTTTTTCAAATGGAACAAGGGTGGTTCATTAGCATATTTAGAAAATGTAATTTTTACGAATAATTTGATACTACACACTTGGTATTTCGCGTCAAATTGTTCGTTATGAACCGCACGTTACAATTTCAAATAAACCATATGCGAAAATGTCAGAAGTTGACATATGAAATGTCATTCTATTTAGAGTGTCATTTTCTGTCGAATAAAGTATAAATATACCGAGAGTGCCATTTAAAAATCATAACTTGTAGTCATTTTCGGTGCAACAAGAAGTGACCAAAAACAACTGAATACGTCAATCAATCCTAATTTATGTCATATACTAGCACACCAAATCTCGTTTTTTTATCTGAAAAAATAAAAAAGTTACAGCGGGTGAGCCACTTTTGAGACGCATTCGGTATAAAGAAATCAATAAAATTTGACATACATCAAAGACATCGAAACCATTACCAAATTAAATTCCTGATAGATAAAAATGCGTTTGAAACTTAAAGTGCACTTTTTTTGTACTTGCTTTGTTCAGTCGACTGTTTACTGTATTTTGTTTAATACACCAGTCTATAGGTTTTACATACTTGTGTTCCTTTCTCTCTTCCTTGATCTTCTTCTCCTCCTCCTTAAGTATCTCCGCCCTAATCTTGTTGTCGATTTTACCCTCCTTCTCTCCAATAGCCGCCTGGGTCTGTTTGACAATCGTTTCCGGTAGACTCGATATCGTCGCCTTGAGTTTATCCGTGGTGGGAATGGTTTCCGGCAGCAAGAGAGCCCTGGACAGGAGCAGCAGCGAGGGAGGTACCTTTTCGTTTAGACTCAGGTCGAGCCACTGGTTTAACTGGGATCTTAACCGTTCCTCGGACACGCCGTAAGCTCTCATGCCTCTGGCGCGGCAAGCTTGTTGCACCTCGCCTAGGGTGAGGGAATGGACGCCCTCTTTTTGGATCATCT